AATGGAAGAAACTGAGGTAACGTGAATATTGCATTTAGCTTTCTTCATCCACAGTAGAAAAACCAGCATTTCATTTGGCACTCCCTACTTATTAAAGTGCTTTTTTGCATTCCTTCCCAGCTTCAGCTTTGCAACTCCCAAGCAGGCCAAACACAACTCCTCTCACCTAACTCGTCCTTCTTAAAAGAAAAACTCCAAGAAAAAGCTAACACAAAACCCAGGAAAACAAACCAAATATGCCCCAAGAACCAAGCACATTCCTCTCTCTTTTTCATTATTGCGTAAACACACTCACAAGTTGTATTGGTAAAACCATCCTCAGCTGGTTTAAGTTTATGTGCTTTGAGTGAGTTCAGTGAGTGAGTTCTCAATTTACAGTAGCTGAGAATCTGGCCCTTGTTTGTAAAGGATCAGCCACCCTTCAGGACTCTGTATTCTCTCTGACCCTGGGATTTGTTGTCTAGGCTGAACTGGCTGTCCACTGGAAGTGGTAAGTGCCAAGGAATGGGTGCTCAGGGACTTCTCTGCTGAGCAGCTGCTTCACAGAAGGTCTTTTACCCTTTGGACTACCCAAAAGCACATTTTTGGTGTTGTTCCATAAGAGGCATAAGCTACTGTCTTTCTCTGCATCTCCACTCCCTCTCACTTGTCCGTGGTGAAGAGGGATGCTGCAGACAGCAGCTGTGCTGTAAGAAATGATACCTGTGCTTGACATCCCACACCTATGGCAACAAAACTGTGCTTGGCACTGGGGCTGTCCCTGTGCCCTTGGCAGAACTGCAAGGCCACAGCCAGACCTCCTTGGAAATATGGATTCTACAGGTATGTTGCCTGTGAGTTACTCTCTACTCATTCTTGAACCATTCGCAGAGCCTCAGCAAAGCTGGCTGAGGGAGACATCCCCAAGTTATTTAGTTCCTGCAAATTTTTGGAAAAATACTGAGCCAAAGAAGAAAGGAGGCAAAAGTCATGCACACAGCTCTTTGTAACCAAGAGACCTACAGGCCACATATATGTTTATTCACAAAGAAATAAAGAAAAAAGCTTTTTTATTACAGTTTTTGCTTCTGTTTATAAACTATCTGCTCAAGCAGTTTTAAAAAGCACTGAGGTGCCACTGAACATGTAACAGATAAGAGTAGTGAGGTTTTTTTCTTTTGAATTTTTTCTGAGCAGATCGGAGTGTGGTTCTATGCTGGCTTTAGGTTTGTCAATCTTTTGTGAATGTTTTTTTCCCCTATTTTTTCAGTCCCACTGGGAAGTAATTTGATGCAAGCAGGCCACACTGAGCAACATGGACTCAACCACCACTGGGCAGATGGGTTATGTGTTTGGATGAGCAAGAAGGCAAGTGCATCTGGCTCAAATGCACCTCTGAATTTCAAAATCCTTTTCCACTAACATCATTCATGTATGAGACTTGGAAATGCATTTTGAGAAATGTATTGTTATTCTGATTTGTGTTAGAGTTGTGTGGAGTGATCCAAGAGAAGACAGGGCCCAATGTGCTTAATTAATTAAGGTGTAGACCTTGATAGATGCAATCTGAGTTTATAACTGAGACAGGTAAGAGAAAAGGAGGAAATAGAAGCATGAAGGGGTAAAAGGATTTGGTCAAGGTCACATCTATGTAAGTAAAACTACATCACCCGACTGTTCTTGGCAAGTAAATATGAAAGGAGAGCAGTTGGCCAAAGTAAATTCACTTTAAAACCTGAATGAAAATAATCAATAGTATTCACCCACTGTGTCTCAGATGCCTGAATCAATTTGATAACAAACAGTTTGTTCCCTTTTCTTAGTTATTTGTAAAGAAGTGGCTTGATTGCCAGTGTGCCTAATTCCAGACATATGCGAATTCCCTAATGGTAATGGAGCTGCACTATTGCATGCCAAGACTGAGGCAGATACTCAGCTCTTTCCTGCTAGATTTCTCCCAGAAGATTTGCAGTCAAATCCCTGTTTAACGACTATCAGACAAACATATGTGCTGCTTGGTGGATCCACTTTCCATCCAGTGTAAACACGTAACAGTAGCTCGGCTCCCGCGCCGCGGTCGCGGCCCTGTTTGTAAGCACGCGCTTCGTGCTCGCGCGCAGCCACGCCAGCCCAGGGCCACCACGGCGGTGCTGCTGGGAGCCACTCCTGCTGTGGCACCTGGGATTCTCCTAGCAGAGCACTCTGCATCCATCCCTCTCCCAGGAGCCGGCTCCATTAGCCAGAGCCTGCTGGAAGAGGCTGCAGGAGGGCTGAACTTCCTAGGCACGAAGAACAGCTTCCTGAGGAAAATGTCTGGGCACAAAGAACAGCTTCCTGTGGAAAATGTCTGGGCACAAAGAACAGCTTCCTAAGGAAAATGTCTGGGCACAAAGAACAGCTTCCTAAGGAAAATGTCTGGGCACAAAGAACAGCTTCCTGGGGAAAATGTCTGGGCACAAAGAACAGCTTCCTGAGGAAAATGGCTGGGGACAAAGAACAGCTTCCTGTGAAAATGTCTGGGGACAAAGAACAACTTCCTAAGGAAAATGGCTGGGCACAAAGAGCAGCTTCCTGTGGAAATGTGATGCCGGTGCTTCTGGTCTGACAGCCCCAGGTGGCTCCCCAGGCACAGCAGCTGGGCCCATGGGAGAGGCACAGAGAGCATTCACAGAGACACTGGCAGAGATTTCCTGTCAGAACTGGCTCAGCCATCCTGCAGGGGGGTCTGGTCTCACTTTGGCACAGACCAGGTTGCAGGGACAAAACCCCAAAGACTCTTCTGGCAATCAGATCATCCTCCAGATAAGTTTGGGATGGGTACATCAAAAGCAGTGGGCTCTCTTTGCACTGGGGGATGATTAGGCCTATTCTACATAACCCTCCTTCAATAGGCAATATATTACCTTTCAGCTAACTGAAGATGCTTTTTTTTTTTTTTTTTTTCCTTTCCTATTATGTCACATTCACCTTTGAGGTAGTGAGTGCTGCTTACAGTTTGGCTGAAGTTCTCAAAGTGGCCAGTCAATTTCAGCCATTTTTTTTTCCAAAAGCAACAAGAAATTGAATGTATTTGAGAGTACTGATGGTGGGACAAATATACCTTTCTGGAAGTTATCTATCCTAGCCTACCAGCTGAGCGCTGTAAAAATCTCCAGTGCAAGTAATATTGTGTATTCATGATTGCAGGTCATTTGGTCCAAAACATCAGCCATCAGAGATTTCCTGCACTAGTCACTATCTGCATAAGGGTTATTCATTAGGTCTTTGCAAATTTCTATTCCTTGGCCCATCTTGCTAGATTCCATAGTGTTGCTTTTCCATCCCCTTTGGAAATTAAGTCCCCGTGTCAGTGATTCATGTGGAAAATAACAACACGTGCACTTCATCCTCTTTTGGCTGTGTTGCTCAGGTAAAGGAACACCCTTTGCTGAAAGCAAACCAAATAATGAAGGTCTACACTAACACTGTTGCAGAAATGGGATGTTTTTGATACTAAAGCTCCTGGGGAAAAGCCAGCTGTAGCCTGAGCAGTTGAAACTTGCTATGCTATGTGTTTGACTTGCATGGCCATCTTCTTTATTCAAAGTTCAAAGAAAACTGTTTCTTCCTATGCTGTGTCTTGTGTTCTGTGCAGGGAACAAATAACCTATTCCTTGCTTCATTCACTTTTGTAACTGCCACTGATATTGCTGTTTCCTGTGAGAAACCATGGAGTTGCATTTGGAATATTTATTGTGTATATTCCAAATTCCAAATATACCAAAGGGTATAAAATACTGTCACTATAAGCACCTTCCCTGTTAAACATATATGGTCCTAAAATATTAAGGGAAACTAGATCAATCTATTGAAGATATTCACATATAAAAGTGTTTTTCGTAGGTCACAGGAATTTATAAGAAAACTTACTTCACATTATGGAGCTCTGAGCTGTATGACCATTTTGTATCCCTGTGGATATAGCAAAAGTACGCTCATCAAGTTACTGGCACACAACTCAATTTTTACATGGAAGAGTAAAACTTGGTGTTAAATAATGCCTGAAAGCAAATAGAAAGCACCTTGTCTCCTTCAAATGGCATCCTCCCAGGAAATGCAAAAAAAAATCAATATATTATAGTAGCTTATGATCTCATTTAAGTGATTCAACACAACAAAATTTCAATGACATTTCTTTCTTCAGTGACTGTTGACTTGCCTTTTCTCTCTGAACAGCACTTCTAGATTTGGATTTTTTTTTCATCCTTTCCTTAGGACCATGCTGTGGAAGGCAGCCTATCCTGGGGGAAAAAAACATATGGTGTATTAAACTACTAGAGATTAACAGAAGCCAAAAAAATTCATGAATGCCATATACTCTATAGCTCCAGTCTGGGGAGGGGAAGACCTGTGCCACATCAGCCTGGCTGGACTATCCCCTGGGACTCGTGGGATTGTCTCCTACCATAGATGTCTGTGTTTTCCTAGTTTATCTTAGGTTGATTTTTCACAGAACAAAAGCTGCACTTTTCCTGTTAAATTACCCTACAGCTGCCTTATACAGGAAATGTAGATGGCTTATACTTCCTAGTCATACCATTTTTTATGTCTTTCTGAATGGGATTACTGCTTGGGCCTCCAGAAGATGTTATACTTATTTACATTTGAGTTAAGCACTGATGATCCCCTCCTTATGGCTTCACTGCAGAAAGAAGGTGGTGGTGGCAGCAAGCAGATAAATCACAAAAGACACGCTTCATCTGCCTGATCTCTGGTCTCACTTCTGCCCTTAGAAATAGTGCAATAGTTCAAGTTTATAGCCTTTGTGGATTAGAAAAGCACCCTTATGCTGTTGAAAAGAGAAAATGTCCATAAACAGTGTTATTGACAGTTATTACTGTTGTATCACTGAAGATCAGGGCTCATTGTGCTAAGTGCTGTGCAGATGTATTTTAGAGGGCTTCCCTGCTATAAACAGCAATATTCTTGTTAGAAGCAGGAGGTCTTGTTATTCCTATAACCCTCTTTGCTCTATTTTGCAGCTCAAATAGCACATGGGCAGTCATGCCTTAGTCAGAAGAACCAACTTAAGACTGACACTTTTCCATCATGTGAGTACTTCTTTACATCTTCTGTCTCCACCACATTTGGAGTTTTGCTGTCTTTACTCAAGAGAAAATTTGCCTCACTCCACGTGTCCAAAAAGAAACAAGCAGAGTGAAGAAACATAAACTGGTACAAAAAAAATTTGAGTGTTTCTTATTTTCAAAACAAAATATTTTGATCTCTAGCTTTTTATCTTTTAGAATAAGTATGTGCTCAGATTAATCTGTGACTAACACATTTAGAAGGCACTACGGAAAAAGTGAAATTTGCAGATGCCTATGATTGAATTCTAATCAGAAAACAGAGTTCTTAATTCTTTCTGTAGGTCTAGTCTGGTGATCCAGATTTTCCCTAACCAACATCTGCCTAGGGGCAGAAAGATGCTATAAACATCCTAGAGAGATGGTGCTGGAGAGCTTGAAAGATTAGATATGCTTTCTGTCCCTGGGTTTTTTGGTTTTGGGTTTTTTTTGTTTGGTTGGTTTTGGGGTTTTTTTGAACATATTTTTCTTTCCCCCTTCCTTTCTTATAATGACAACTGTATTTACACCTTGCAAACTTCTCACTCTTTAGTTTTGGTAACAGTATTGCTGATTCGTTGATCCATTCATGATCCAGGACTCCTCTCAGTCCTTTCCAGCAATGCTACTGCCTGGCCAATTATTTTATTGTGCTGATACATCTTTTCCTTTCCCCTTTGACCACCTCTTATCTCACAACAGTCTCCACATTTTCTTTGGTGTGTCCTTTTCAAAACGGAGAGTTAATAACTAGGTCAGCTTCAATAAGAAAGGTGAGTGTGGAGTGCTAGTCTGTGCTTGGGAGCCTCCTTGCCCCTTACAGAATCTCTCACATTTCTTCAATCTTAATCCGCTTTTAATGGCCTTATTTATTAGTTGCTAAGCTGTTTTCTTCTGGAGAGCTAGAAAAGATAGCCCACATAGTAAGATGCTGGTATTTTAACATCAGAATGTCTGAATTTGTATCTTGCTCTTTTTGGTGGATTACGACCACTGAGGAAATTAATTTAGTACTATCTGTGTTTAAGAAATGAGAGCCTGGATGAGATTTCTGGCCCTCGAGCAAATTTTTTTCTGAGTGCCCTTGGGTGACACTCAGTTACTTGTCTCTGTTTCAGCTCTGTCTCTGCCAGGCTGATGTAATAGTCCATGTATTCCATGCCTAATGTAGGTGCCGAGGAGCTAAATGAATGAATGCTTGTGGAGCATGCAGATCATTGATGTACGGGTCGGTATCCCTGAGGGACACCAGCAGAAAGCTGGTCGGGAACACACCTTGGCTGGCCAGGGTGGAGAGTGAGAAAACTCTCAAACAAGTGGACAGGAGGCTGGTAAAAGGAAGCAGGAGAGAGCCTGGAAAAATTAGGGCTGATGTAACAAAAGGCATTCATTACTTGCTACAAAAACTCTAAAGAAATCTGATGTTTGGATGTTCCCTTCAAATTTGGATACTTGGAATGCTTTAATCCATCAAATTTGAGTGGGAAGTCTAAAAATCTAAAGAAAGACCTCCTGAAAAGCATTTGCATAGTGTACACACTAAAAATCTATAGACATATAGATTAATTTAAACCCTGAAATTAAATAAGCATTAAACAGGCCCTGAAAAATGCACACAAACATATTCTGGTGAAAAGCTACATTGTGATCCTTCCTGTATGAATTACAGCATATATACAATAACTGCCATGAATTCTGCAGGGAATGTGAGAATGTAGGCACCTATTCAGATTGGAGACCATAAAAAAGGAACCTCTAATAACAAGTGGATCCTAACATTTTTTGAAATAACTAAAATAAGAAAGGGACCAGAGGGAGTGAATTGCATAAGGAGTGGAAAATCCTGAACCCATGCTGGCCCAAAAGAAGTATCAGAAAGAAAGAGCTCCTTCAAGTAAAAAACCTCCCAAATTAGACCTTTGTCTGACCAATTCAATAAGAAAGGAACAGGGAATAGGGAAAGTCATTCAAATGTATTCATTAAGTTGGCAGAGAAATGCTTATTAAAGAAACTCTCATCTTGATTCCTTTTTTGGGGAGGAGGAAAAGAAGAAGGAAGGGAAAGATTTTTTTTGTGTTATTTAACATTAATGGTTCAGAGGCATTCTTCCTATTATTCCTTCTATTTTGACTTGCTGCATTTGAAAAATATGTTGTCTTTTAAATAGATTTATTCCTTTCAACAGCCTCTGACATCTTTTGTCAGAAGTTCCTTCATTTTTCCAGTTTATTTCTTAACATGTATTTGTATAAATGGCTTCCACTGCATTAATTGATGTGTTTGTGTCTGTGCAGAGCAAATGCATTCTTCTCACAGGGATTTTAACAGGCATTTGTTCAAGTGTGTTTTGCTTTTCTGTGTCTATTTCTGCTTGTTTTTCTGGGAGAGAAGGAGACATTACTAACATGCAGCCAGCATAATGAGTCCCATTAACTCCCAGTTCAGTTTGCTTTTTGACCACCTCTCTTTTAATGACTGTACTTTTCTTGACTGCAAAGTTTGGGGAATAGGAAAACTGTTCGCTCCGCTGGATTTTAATACATGTTTACATCCTTCTTTGCAGAACGGCACCACCTCTCAATTAATGTTACTCTTAGCCTTAAAAAAGCAATTGGTAATAAATAAATGAGAGCATGTGTTGGAAAAGTGTGGTGTGAACCAGAATTTTTACAAAGGCTGCTAAGCAATTTTAGAAGCAGCATTTGTGTTCTAATATTTTAAAGCTTTTTCATTGATCTCCTGTTAAATGAGAAGCAAGAATTAACCTCAATGACAGTGCTAGTAGCTCTGCAGTCTATTTTGGCCTGTTCTTTAAGTAAAAAGAGCAACCTAGATGAGAATTTTGTGCTTCACTGGATATTGAAAGATGAGGCAATAAACTGCTAAACTTGAGTAATCACACACTCCCAGAGGAATGCCTCAAATGGGGTTGGTCAAAAACCTTGAAATTCTAGCCTTCTGCACACTGCCTGGGCTTTAACATTTGATGAGAGTCATTATAGTGGGGGACTGAATACAAGTGTCTTCTGATTACAGACCTTCCATTAAAAGTTCCCACCAGTGTGCCTTTCCATAGAGAAGCGTCAATGGGATTAAAATCTCAATTCACCCCAGTCAATTCTCCAGTAACACGATTTCATTAGAGGCAGGCAGGGAGGAAAATGGACTAGAAAGCACTGAAACAGCTGGTGTATAAATTATAAAGTGTACTTTCTACTAAGTGAACACACCTTCCGCTCAGCCACATTACTAATTAATGTGTAGGGTAGCCGATTTTATGTAAATTGTATTCTTCCTCTCTCCTGTGCTTTGGTTAACAACAGGTTCTTCTAAATCTTGGAAAAAGAAAGATTATGCAAAGCTATCATCATATGAAAATAACGTATTAACATACTGCCTGTGAACTGTATCCAATCAGTTCCTTTTCACTGGTGTGTGTACAAAACAATTAAAATCAAATTTATATTGCACTTCTTTAATATATTCTGGCATTAATATAATCAACGAACAAGTGTTAAAAAGTCTTACAGGCCTATTCTGCTTTAAAATGATATGTTTGTTCTCAGGGTTAGTGGATATTTTCAGCTTCTCTAAAAGGGCACTAAAATGAAAAGTTCTCAGCGTACGAATGCAACTCTGACAGATTCATGTGGAGCCTTTCTCCTTCCAGAATTTCAGCCTCTTGTGTTCGTTTTTTTAGCTGGTGTCTTCACCCCTGGACTTTTCCAGCTGTTCCCTGTGTTACCTGCAACATATTGGTTTATAATTATTGGGTGCTGCTGAATAACAGCTCATAAAGTTTATGAGAGCCCTGAATTGTCTGGATGACCTGCAGGCTGGTTGTGCTACCAGCTGTTCCGGTGTCAGGCAGACACACACACCCAGGAGCTGTCTGCGGGTCTGCCAAGGCCCAGGGTTTCACCTGGAGCCTGAAGGATGGCTCACATGCCACCAGCATATCCTTATTTTCCATGTTTCGTGCTCTGAGGCTACGTTTTCCCTGTTTGTTTCCCCAGCTCCCTTTGGTGTACTCTCATGTGACATGTGGCAGGAAGAACTGAGATATTCTGTCACTGCTCTCAGTGCTAGAAGATCTCAGAGACAAAAAAATTGGTGTGAGTAAAATGCTTTTGTCGTTCACAGGGGTGGAAAGTCTACCAAGAAGTTATTTATTCTGTCCTTAACAATATCTGCATCTCCCCAGGAACAGAGCCTTGTCGAGCCCCTCCACCAACAGGCGCGCCACACTTCATCAGGCAGTTTTTCTCAGGGATTCTGAGAAAATTCTCAGGGATTCTGAGAAGATTCAAAGAGAACTTTGCTGTTTTTTAACACCTCTAGCTGCAGGTAAGCCCATTTCTTGTCCTACGCGCTGAGGATAAAGAAGAGATTACTCTCTTCTTTGAATTTGCCTTTTACTTATTTTGAGAACCTATCCTCCCTCAGACACATATACAGAGACTAATGCTAGTGCCCAGCCAAGATGATTCTTGAAACCATGATCATGAAGCTGGAAATTATTGGTTTTCCCCTCCCCTGGCAGTGCTGAACCTGCCTACAAAGACACATCCCTCTGAGGAGACCAAAAGAGAATGTATTTCCTAGGAGAAATAAATGAGTGAGATCCTCATGCCGCTTCTGAGCCTTTTTCTAAAGGAAAACTACTTCTTGTGGCAAGAGACAAACTAAGCTGAGAACATAAGCTGACTTCAGTTTGGACCAGAGGATAGTAATAAGCCATGGAGGAAAGGTCAGCGTCTTTCCATTAAGCAGTCCCATGTCATCCTTATTTATGATTTCCTAACAATTAATTTAGCCAGATAAAAAATGTGATTGGCATAATTCCATTTTGAAATTGCAGATTTGAATTCTTGAAAGTCTAAATGGTTGTGCATTTGCATTATCAAAAATGGCGTTAGACTCGAACTGTTTATTTTTCTCTTCAGCTCCTTTCACTAAAGCTATGAAATGAAGGTGGGTGAGGAATGCAGAGGAGAGGGAAAAAATACTAGGATTCATTGCCAAGTACTTTCTTTTTGCCCCTCATTGCCTACCAGCTGATTTGGAGTGGCACCAGGCTGAGAAGATGACTGACAGCGTACCTCACACTAACACTTGGTCAGACCTACTGCAGCATTTTCCTCCTTGATGGTGTCGATGGCATAAATGGCATCAGCCTTGAGGTAGAGGACAGCATCATCTGCAGCTCTTTGTAGGGACAGAATAGTAGTGGAGGAGGTGCACATTCCACCCCTGGTCACAGTGGTGGAAGCCCAGGAAGCGTCAGTGAGAACTGAACGTAGCCAAGAAGGTCGCTGTGCAGAGACACAGATTGCAGTCTTTATCTTCCCTGATTGCTCAGCACTTGAGGTAAATGTTGTCTCTCTCATTCCCTCAGGTTGTAAGTCACTGTCAGATCTTTCCCACTGGCTGAGGGACAGTTTGGTGGCACTCTCCAAGCCTGTCGGGACTTGTGGTGCTATTACTCACTAAAGGAAAGAGGACAGACACAGAGCTCTGGTACCCGGGCTTGCTTTCCCACTTACAGCACCAGAAAAAGATGCTCTGTTGCTCTTTCAGAAACATTTTGCTGATCAACTATTGCCAAATAAAATGAACAAATAAATCTCAGGAGCCTCTGAAGGTGATCCTCCAAAAATGGCTTAACAGGATTTAATAATGTCTTGTTTGACCGTTTGCTGGTTTGCTCTTTTTGGAAGGAACAAATATATGGAAAGATAAGTTGTAGTTACTGTTTTCTAGGCAGCTCCAAATAAAGACAGAACAGAGGAAAGAAGCTTCTCTTTCTTTGGGTAGTGTTATCAGGTAGGTTGAAATCTGATGAGTAGGTTCTCAGTGATTTGGGGGTTGCACATCTTCAGTCAGAGAGATTTTCACATTCCTACAAATTTTATGGGCTTTTTTTCTTAATGGGCTTTTTTCTATGCTGCTGTATTATTTGTACCAGTGTTTGCTATATTCATGGGAAATTATCCTATTTGTCTTCAGTAGATACTGCACAAGACCCAAAATGAAAAACACATCCATAAACTTTGTTAGGGTTCAATATGTAATTTTTTTTTTTTGTGTGTGATAAGGAAAATGAAAAAGATAGTTGTAGTTGCATTTTAATTACATTTATTGGATATACACATTGTCTAAGACCTAGAATATCTCTAGCATGATGGAAGACAGCAAAAGAATGGGATTAGAGCAGACGAAGAAGAGATCTTGGGCCTAAATAGTGATACAGAGAGGATAACCAATCTGAAATGGTTGAAATTGTCTAGCTTTAGGGGATGTTTAGTTTCTTAGAACAAATTGCACAAATTTAATTTCTGTATGCATTCCCATAATTATTTTTGTTTCGAAGTAACTGTGAAATTGAGTCTTTTGCTTCTGCTGATATCAGGTCACTTCTGAAAACAAAGTGTATCTCAGAGAACAGCAATATTATTATTATTCAAAGGCTGCATGCTTGGGCAATTATGCAAACATTGTCCTACTGTCAGTCAGTAAAAAACCTTCCTAAAATACCTGGAACCCTTGAATTAATTAAACTTCTCATCATCTCCTTTGAATGCCACCATGCAAGGGGTTCATCTCCTACCCAAACCCACTCCAAAATTCTCCACCCCCAGGTCATTTTATCATGCAGTTGTCCAGCTGAATGTTGTTCTGCAGTGGACACTTTTGCTCCTCTAATCACTGAGTACAAGCTTATATACATACAGCTCTGCAAACTCTGTATGCTCTTTTAGCAAAAGTCATCTTGGTGACTCACATGTTGCAAAAAGTGTGAAATCTACTGAAAGCAGCATTGCTTCCCTGAAGGAAATAAGCACAGTTTTTGTGGCCTAACCTCAGAGACAGCAGAGGCTGATGTCCCCTTTCCATCATTGCTGGAAGTTTAATAGCACAGTTCATATGAAAAGAGCTGGAGAAAAAAAGGTCTGGTGGGAAAAAACCCCAAAAACAACATACCAAGTTTAATGATACAGACTGTAACAAGATTTTTTTTTTTTTAACTCCCTAAGTACTCTTAATGGGAACAAATGGTTTATCTTTTCAGATCTGTAGATATTACTGCAGAAATATCCCTCTGGGAAAAGGCTGCATAAGTTCTGGCCACCGTGTAAATCTCACACTGAAGACTCACTTGGGAAGAAGAAAAGACAAAAAATGTTGTGCTGGCTCTCTAAGTGAAGGTAAGTGTTGTCCTACATAAACAGTAATGAGAGCAAAGCTAAATGGTGCCCAAATTTTGTTTCAGGGGCAAACCAGTGTTATGTCAGCCAAAGCCTTTGTGATTTTCATGAAGGTGGAGACGTTTTCTCCCTTTATCTATTCTTACTCCTTGGTAAACAGGCATGTATAAAAACAGACCTATATAAAAAGGATGGCATTCACATCCTGTGTTTGTGCCCCCCTCCACCTGGCTACACCCTGTGTGTGTGGTACTCAAAAGGGCAAGTGTGTCCCACAGGGAGGAGGAATATTCAGCGTTCCACAAATGGCTTTGAACCAGCTGCACATCACAAAACCACCCTGCAGAGCCCCTGGGCCTGGGTACTCTTGCTGGGACAAGCTCATCCATGACTGTATGGGGAGCTGCTTAATTGAGGCTCATTACTTCCATTTCCTACTGACACCGCGCACCCCGTGAGGCGCCGCTCAGGCAAGCGCCAGGGGCAGGGGGTGGAACAGCTGCTGCTGCTGGCATGGAAGCAGGAGAGGATGAGGGATAACAGTGCCCTCACCCAGCCCTGCTGCCTCTGGGGTTGGTGCTGCCTGTGAGGAGGAGCAAGCTGCTAATCTGACCCCCTCAGACAGGGGCATGCACCTGCCTCGGCCACCACAGGGCCTTTGGCCACAGAGGATGGTGCACTCCTGACAAACTACCCCCAGCAGGTGTTTCCACCACCCCTTTGGGATGTCTAGCTATCTGTATGCTTTTGTTCTTTTTAAAGAAGGTTCATGCTTGGGAGAACCTCAGCTAAAACTCCCAAAGAGGAGAACTTCCTTATTTAAACACATAATGTGAGCCATTTATTTTTTCTTATTCAGGATGCCATCTATATTTTCTTATTCTTTCCAAGGTCAGACAAGCATCCTTCCAAAGCCTCTGATTCTGTTTTTTTCAAGCACACAAGCTCACAGGTAGACACAGACTTCCTGTTCATTCCTGGTCCTGTAGATGTCCTGAATCCCTGCTGAGACCCTTGTTCCTATTTCCTTGCAGACATTCTTCCAGTTCTCTGCTGATGTAGTATCCTCAGCTTTCATTATTAAAGACCCATTATGGGCTTTGGCTCCTACAGGTAAATATGCAGTATCATCCACTTTATGTCAACTTTTCCCAAGTACCACAAAAGCTGCTAAAGAAATTAATCACCTTTTGATTTCCATGGGACAGTGGAAAACCTGTGAGAGAGAACTTAGGTAATGATATCTGTTATTATCACCCTTCTGAAACTCACCACTGCTGAGTGAAAATGAGCTTTGTGAAGGTAATCAATCACTGGCCACCACATGGGTTCCCTCAGTATAACATTAAGGGTAAAACTCATCACTTTGAACAGCATCAACGCAGCCTTGTGTAACACCAATTCTCACTCACCCACTTCTGTAGAGGAGATGAAAGAGGGATCTGTTTACTCAAGATGCTCTGGCTTTGCATTTCACCACTCCCGGTGCAAGTAATGACTTGCTGGGCAGCCATTGGCCCGGCCAGGCAAGGGCTTCCTGTGCTGCAAGGTGGCATGGGGCCATGGTAGCTCTGCACATTGACTGAGAAGTCAGATAAATTATAACTGCCAGCATCAAAGCTGTAAAAATGATAAAAATTAATACCACAGTATTACGGAGAGTGTCTCCCTTTGTAGCTGCTGTTAGGTAGTATGCAGTCAATTCATAGAATAAGAAATTATTTCAGAATATATTGCATTATACCAATTTCACTCCCTAAAAACCCCACTACATAGGTCCCCCCAGAAGATGTTTTAGGTGAGGGATAATCTCAGAGAGATGGTGGTGTCCATTGTGTTAGATTCTGCACATTAAACATTTGGCAACCCAGAGAAGAAAGGTGTGAAAGGACCATGTTTGTGGGCAGGAGAGGTTTCTTGTTTGGCAGCACCTGAGAGCAGAGCTGAACAGGTTTAAGGCATTTCAGTCTGGGTTTGTCTTCTCTGCCTTTGTGTATGTAAAGATGCCCAGGTTATTTCCATGGCACAGGCTTTGCAGGCATGCAGTTGCTGCATCCTGTCACTGGAGACTCAGAAGGTCACCACAGAGAGAATTAGCTCATGTATTTTGACAGGTGAAGTTAAATAAAATGAAATAATTCGACAGGAAGTAAAGCAGAAATTCAACAAAGGAATAGACTTGCATGAATAACAGGTTACAAGATGGGGGGAAAAAAAGGATGGGAAATGTATATACAAGTAAGTAAATACAGATATTTTCATAAATGTTTCAACCTCAACAGTTTGAATAGTTCAGAGTTCCCTGTCTGTTGGCCTGTTTGGGTAAGGCAGTGCTGCTATCACAGTAAGTGCTTTCACTTCCTCACACACAGTAAAGGGAATGCAAGATCTCGTGCCAAAATCTCTTTCAAAACTGAGTGTGAAGTAACAAAATAAGAAAGTCCACTTGAGTCTGGAGAGAGTCTAAAATAGGAGCTCTAAGAATTCCAAGCTGCTCTATTAGTCTCATTTCAAGCCCATGGGCTGCACAGGTTTGTGGCCAAGTAACTGTTGATTGTGACTGCTATTCCCACAGGGAAGAAAGAGAAATGCTATATGGGGCACAAAAGCAACAACGGATTTCTGACAATATAGTCTTTTCCAGTGTGAGCACAGGCAGCTTTCTGCTCTAAGGAAACAAGGACAACTTTGCCACTAGTATTATCAAGTGGCTAGGACTGTCTTCATAGTGTGCTGCTGATAAAAAACAGAGACAAGCAAGGGAGAAATGCATCCAAAATTGCTGCAAAGAAATGCATTAGAAGAGGGAAAAATGATAAACTACACAGGTGGCATGGGAAGCAACAGTGGTGTTTTCTCAATAAAGATGCTGAGGACATAAAATGGGAAAAGGCAGCACAGCTGTGACAGGTCACAGCAGCGAGGGCCAGCCTGTTTCTGAGGACCACTGCGGTGATCCTCAGAAAGAGCCACACACATGTGGCACTACCTAGCCTGATCAGGATGTAGCAGCCTGCAAGCCTCCAGCCAAACATGCTGCCTTTTAGTGCTACACGTCCCCTGGCTGCAGACAGCAGGCACGGGCCATCGGCGAGGGAACAGGGTCCCCTCCTGTGCCTGGGCACAGGGCTGGCACAGAGTCAGCTCCAGGGCCGCTGGGAGATGTGGCTGTGACAGCCTGGTACCCAGAGCCCTGGAGGTGGCCTGGAGAAGCACGGTGCCTGTGTCATGGCACTGAGACATACAGGGGATGGGCTCTCCAGGATGAGGGCAAGTGGGAAGGTCACCGAGGCAGCTGAGGAGATCGTGGGACAATGCAAAGACAGTTTAATGTTGCATGTGCTTAGACAGGTAAAATGACATTTTCCCCCCCCCTCTCTCAGCCCCTGAATTAACAGGCTAGCCCAGAGATACGAGGCTTTGAGGGGAGGAATATCAGGAAATGGGCAAAGATTTCCAAAAGAGGCTCTTACCCCGATGTGGTTTTCCAGGTCTTTATTCTATCATGTCCAGGGGAAAGAGTGGGGCAAAGAGGGCTAACTGGAAGGGTTAGGGGTTTATCTAGGCTCTGGACAGGGAAGGCTTCTTGGCTCTCTGCCAACCCTGTCAGGGCAGGAAGGAGGGGTCCAGAGTTATCTGATCAGAGTCACGGGGGTCCCTGGGGGAATGGGGGAAGGCATAGCCCGAGCGCACTGTAACAGTAAAACTGTGGTTTGGAGACCTGAGCAGAGACTTATAATATTCATAGGTTTGTTGTCTTTAAGAGACTGTTTCTTTTAATCTGTTTTGTTCTAAAAATATTGTGTGTTTAAGCACTTTGTTGTTATTCCTGCTGTTCAGACTTCGTTATGGATATGTAGGAAAAATCTGCTAGTTATCTACTTGGCTTGGATGAATTGTTATCTGATGCTAACATGAAATGTAGCAGAGTCCTGCAGGAGTCATCCTTTGCTCTAAGTGTGCAGTCTTATTAATCACTTTAAAATGTTTCATGGCTCTCAGAGTTGTCAAGATCTCTCTCAAATCTGTACCAAGTGTGAAGCAACAAGGTAAGAAGGTGCACTTGATTTTAGAGACTCTAAAATAGGAGCTCTAGGAATGGCAAGCTGCTCCATCACTCTCATTTCAGGCCCATGGACTCCACAGATTGTGACCAAGAAACTGCCAAAATCCAACAGTTGGCTACATTTTTACCTGTGTGCGCTATCAAATTTCAGCTATTGCTGGCCAGATTGTGTAGGAATGCAGAGATGGGAAAGGGGGTAATTTTTGTCAGCCAGAGTAAACTAACAGCAGACATGGTTTTAAAAATAACATCGCCATGGAATTTGCCTGACACAAACCTCACCCTGATGCAGAAACATTACATAGCTTCAGGGAAATAAACAACCAACTGCCCTGAAACCTGTTCAACATGAAAGGACTTTGCTGTTCTTCCCTGCACATTTTTAGAAAAAGGACAATTACAGGATAGATATTTTTGACAATTACAAAAATAATCACTTTCAGGATCTGTTGTCACAGCTTGATTCAGCTGTGAGGTAAGTACCCTTAGTATTATTTCTGTGTTCAAGTGCTTGAGACATTTATCAGAGATACTTATGTGGAATGCTTATGAGTCAGGTGGAAGATCCTACTTAGCCTCAAATTTCAGGCCAATGGTCTTTGCAAACTTATTGAAATCCAGCCAGGCCAGGCCTTGTTCCTGACAAGGATCTAACCAGCTATTACCTCTATACATGGATTGGTAACCTAGAAAAGTGAAGAGCATAGGAATTTCAGATTTAACCTGACTTCTGTTCTGTCATTTAAGGATCATTTTGCATTGTGTCCACACATATGAGCAGCAAATTAATGGTTAACTTTGCAGCCACTCTTGTAAACAGACTTTTTTTTCCCACTATTATAAATCTCGCAGAGAAATGAAAAGCAAGAAAATAAAGATGTATTAGGTCCACATGTTCAGGTATTCTAGGTGGGCTTCTGCTGTGTGGGAGCCATAGAAACACACAGACTTTTCCTCATCACCAACAGAGCTATTCAGCCGGAAGCAAGGCTGATTTCAAACCAGTTTTTGCCTAACACTGCTGGTACCTCCAACTGAGATCTGCTGGAGGGTGCTGGCTTAATTATAAAGTATCTCCCCTACAGCTGCAGAACACTAATCCTGATTCACCAGAATCCAGTGCCTTTGTTTGATTATAGGAACTAGCTTTTGAAACTTTTGGAGTCAATCTAGCCCTGACCTAAGCCATACAGTGGATACAGAGCAGTCATGAGATACACTGCATGCTCTTAAGGTGCCTAGCCAGGACACCCACTCTTTCTGACATATTCTACAAGCCTGTCAGCCAGGGTAACAGTGACTTCAGTGTAGCTCTACGGTGCTATTTCAGCAGGACATAAGGTCTTATCATGTACATTTTGTCAATCAGGATTGGATTTTTCTTCCAAGGGAAGAACATTGTGTGGCAACAGTCTCTTGGTACAGTCCTCCCTGGGGAATTATGGCAACAGAGATGCACTTTTGTGCCTCAATGCATCAATCAGCTCCTTTTCTGGAACTGAAGCTTCTCCTAAATCAGTGGCTCCTGGGAAGGCTGGAGTGGGCCCCTGGTGAAGGGTGGAAAGCAGGCTGTACTCTGTGTTAGCCAGGACCCAGCTGCTCCTTCCTCAGCAGCGAAATAGTGCCCATCTCTCACTCAGCCAGTACCTGCAGGCATTCCAGCTTTGTAAGAATTTTAAGGTCTGTGGCCCTGAAAGTGTATCTCAGGATTTGGGAAAGACTTAAGGCTAAATTAGACAGCACAGTGAAAGGATTTAGTTTTTCCAGAAATTCCTGTGACTTCTGTAACATTTCTACCTTTACTTCTTAGATAAAAATAGCTTTTTTTAAGTTGAGGAACTTCTTGAGGGTTGAATGTGACTGAAAAAAGAGCATCCTTTTTTTCCAGAAGTTTTTCAGGATTCTTTCCTTGGTCTGTACAGTAAGTGTTTAAAACAATAATTGAAATACATATTTTGTTAAATGTGCTATAGATTTGTCGGAAGTCTAAAATCTGAAGCCACTGCTTTTATATTATTTATAACACTTCTTAGAACACAGTATCATAAATTAAACAGATCTGATCTTAAAGCTTTACAGGTCAAGCCCAGGGCAAAGGGGCCCTGATTTATTTGGAAATTTTGAATGAAAACAGAGGATAGGCATTTATTATTTTAAAAAATAATTCCAACTCTCCAATAATCTTAGGCATTGAGGCCATTATAAAAGAAAATGAATTTTGGTATGCAAGTAGCAGATAGTGTTTTGCAAAACTACTCTGGTGTTATATTAAAAACTTAAAATCTGTTCACCAGAATTGCTGTCTCCCCCCAGCTCACATTATAATTTTCAAACTTATGAAAGCTACGAGAAACTTCAACCCAAGGTAGGAGAACCCTGTTTTGGAAACCTAAGGCCTGTCTTGTATTTGTGTTAAAACCTTTTCACAGCACCCTGTATTATAAAGTGTTTTTAAGTTTGTCTAGTACAACCACGAGGTTGATAGCTTCTCTCCACTCATCTGCATTTAGGGATGACTGTGGTTTTAATGAAACAGAATATTGCAAATACTAATGGATCTTAAATTGCTTATTCTTACCAAGAGGTACTCCAAATAGCACATTTGCCTCAAGTGTGTGATATAAAGTGATGAGTTAATTCATGTACTTGTGTCAATTGCTTCAAGATACTGAGAATTAGCTGCATTAGTGATATGCTGCTTTTTTTTTCTCCTTGTGCTTTACATATGAACAGCAAAGTGCATAGGAATGGAGCTCAATTTAAGCTGTGCTGTGCAAAGAGGGGAGAAATCTGGTGATGGGCCTACAAATGTCACTGACAAGGTGAGTAAATTCTTTCTTTTTGCATATTCTTGTTATTCCTTGTACTTAGGCTTGACATAGTTAGGATTTTTGAAGTAGTCTGTGGCAGGGAAATTTCTGATTGCAGTGAATTAGCCAAGAAGAGTTTGTCTTCAGGAAAGCCACATCAAATGGAGCTTGAAAATCCCTCCTAGTGACCTGCACCAAAGCACAGTTCAAATTGCTCCAAGGACCTCTTCTCCACCTGGACTCCCAAACCCACCAGCATCATGTCTTGCAAAAGCAAGGAAAATGTGGGGACCAATGCACACCCCAGACATATCAAACTTCCCTGGAGATCAAGGGCCGGAGCACAGTGCTATTCCCCAGCATCAGGGTTCCTCTGAAGTAGAACAGAGCAACAGGTGGTGGCTGTTAATGTGCTGAATGTGGCTTCCCTCTGTGTCCGGCCATGGAAAACAAAGCCAGCGAGCGGATCCATGCCAAACACTTTGCAAGCATGGAGCTTACACAATTGGGCTCCACCCACATGCCTCACATGGGAATTTTCTCCCTCACCAGCTGGGTTAAGATCACAAGATGGGAAAAAGGAGAAGGGGCAAAAAGAAAAAAGAAAAAAGAGCTGGAATTGTTTTCTTTCCATTGTGGCTCCTGAGCTGAAAGTTCCTTTGCAGCAGAATAATAGAATAAAGATGAGAGTGAACACTGCTGATGGCTCAAAATCTGGCACCAAAGTTTATTTTTCCTGAGCAGCCTGAGTCTGAACAGTTTTGTCAGACAATGTCAACAGAGGTGAAAAAAAATGATGAAAATCATTGAATCTAGTTTGGCTCAAAAATG